AAAATTATATCAACATTTTTCCCTAAAGATTATCAGATGAAAAAATATATATAAGCTCCTTAACAAACAGAGAAAAAAATTTTACTTTTTTTTAGTTCTTGGAGCCCCAAGACCTATACCCTAATATCAGACACATACTGAACACTTACTTATTTTGTAAAAGGAGAAGATATTAACTAAAGTTACAATTATCAACGTTTATGTTTTATTTCTACTTGTCTACTGGTCTATTACCAGATTACATGGAAATCCCAAGCCAACCAATACCCTAAAAACATTATTTTAACTTGCTTTGTTTTTGTTTCAAATACTTATTTAATTAAATCCTTACAGACGAAATGAAATGTGTCTGGGATCTGCTCAAAATAATATGGGAGGAGTGGAAATATGGTTGAGTATAGATGACATGATGATGACTATGACTTGAGGTTGGGTGTAGGTTCATGGGATTCATTTCAGTATTATGTCTACTTTTATATATGTTTAAATTTTTCCATAATATACTATTTTTAAAATGGAAAAATAAAATTTAAACATTATGAGCAGGCTACTTTTAAACCATTCTTTTCTTCTAAGGATACTAAGGTACTCAATAGGTATTTATACTACTACTTTGTAAAAGTAAAGGGATTCAAGAATAACCCACATTTTACAAATAGGAACCTGAGGTCAAGACAAAGAAAGATATAAAAACAGAACAAAATATACAAGTAAAAAGAATATTGCTAACGATTTACTCAATTAACAGTTAGTAATTAATTTTTTTCTGTTACCAAGCAAGTAAATAAACATGTTATTAGATCACATCTTTAATCAAGAAAAATTTACAGCGGGGCCTTGACTTACGAGTTTAAATCGTTCCAAGACCGACCTCGTTAAGGAGCTCGTTAACTCAAATTACTCTATCAACTCAATGCAAAAAATCGGCCGAGAGACAGCTGGTATCTCAAAAAACTCGTTAGTCGGGACACTCGTAAGTCAAGGCCCCACTGTACCTGGGGGGAAGGAGGAACGCCAGGCCTCTTCAGGGTGACGGAAGCCAAAAGCCACCTGTGTTCCAGGAAGGAGGCAGGGCCACCATCTGAAGGCTGCTGAGAGCTCGAGGAAGACGGTAGTAATAGCTGGGATTTGATTCCTGCCAGCCTTCCAAGCTTTGGACACAGATGGTCTCATTTTATCCGCACCAGGACCCTGTTCAACAGGCTTTATTATTTCCATTTTGCAGACAAGGAAACAGGCTAAAATGCAAGGGAAGTCACTTGCCCAAGGACTCAGAGCTACTAAGAGGCAAAGCCAGGATTCAAACACTGTGTACCCTGACCTCCACTCCAGAGACGTGGGCCCTGGACGTCACTGCACACCCACACACTGGTGTGCACACACATGCAGGATGTATTGAGCCCTCGCTCTGGGCCAGGTGTCTGAAATGCACCAAATCCTTGTGGGGCTCACATCTTAGGCAGGGCAAACAGGCAGTAAGCAAATCAGCCAATAAAGAGGTGGCATGCTTCAGGGGGTAAGTGCCATGGCCAGGAGGGGTGAGAGAGAGCCAGAGTGTTTGCTCAGCAGGACAGTTAGAGAAGACCATTACGGGGACGTGGTCTTTACTATATAATCTCTATATATAAAAGCCTAAGTGACAATCTGACCAGTAGCTATGACATTCAGTGACCACCAGGCGGCAGATGCTCAATGCAGGAGCTACCGAGCTGCAGTGACTTGGCAGCTGCGGTTCTCGGGTAACACACCCAGAACCAGAGAGGAGGGAGCCCGATTTCAGGGTGCATCACCTGAGAAACGCCCTCTCGCAATCCAGGACCCCTTGGGGGATATCGGAGAACCGATTTCGGCCCTATCCCCGCAGGACAGACCGAGGGACTCCACTGGTGCACGAATCCCTGCACGGGGCCTCTAGTTACTATATAATTATAGTGATAAGGAACGCTTTGAGAACACTTACTTTTTGAGTGGGTATTGTTGAATAACAGTAATATTTGTGCCAGGCAGCATGCTAAATGCTTTCATTGATTTCAGCCTTCCCATCACAGAGATGTCCTCATCATCACCATTTCACAATGAGATGGAGGTCAGGGCAGTTGCCGGAAGGTTAGGTCTCCAGCATCTCAGCTCGGGCAGCAGGCTCCAGAGGCGCTGCCGGATCTGCCTCTCCGTGCACGAGGGAATGAATGTTCAGTTCCCAGAAAGGGAAACTGGGGGAAAGGAGGTTAAGGAGGAAACTGAGGCACAGGTTCCATGACAAGGTTGGAAAGTGGTGAGGCCCAGACTCAAACCTCGGCAGTCTGGCTCCATGGTCTATGTCTGGCAGCGGTTCTCAACCTGTGGGTCGCGACCCCTTTGGCGGTCGAACGACCCTTTCACAGGGGTCGCCTAAGACCATCCTGCATATCAGATATTTACATGACGATTCATCACAGTAGCAACATTACAGTGATGAAGTAGCAACGAAAATAATTTTATGGTTGGGTCACAACATGAGGAACTGTGTTTAAAGGGCCAGAAGGTTGAGAACCACTGGATTGGCTTTACCAGACCAGTGGCTCTCACAATTGAGCCAGCGTGGGAATCTCCTTCCGGGCCTGTCACGGTAGGTTGCTAGGCCCCGCCCCCAGAGTTTCTGACTTAGCAGGTGGGGGCGGGCTTGAGAATATGCATTTCCGTCCAGATCCTGACAGGTTAAGCGGGGGCTGCTGGGCCAGGGCCCACACCTGGAGAACCGCTGCCTCTCGGCGCATGAAGGGATGGCTGGCTTGTTTCCCGCGGGGGAAACGGAAACTCGGAGGGGCTGTCAGGTGCAAAAGTCACGCAGCTGTCAGATGGTGGCGCCGGGATCGCAAACCCAGGCGCTTGGCCTCCAGGGCCCACATTCTTAACCATTGCCCTGCACTGCCTCCTGCCGGTCAAAATAAGAACTGCATGCCCACGCGAAGGAATGGATTTCCCAATCCCCCAGCCGGGGAAGCTGCGGTCGGGGAGCTGGGCGTGGCAACCCCGGCCGACCCTGACCTCCTTCCCCGCCTCCCCGCCCCGGTCCTCAGGTGAAGCTGGTGTTCATGGAGAACCAGGCGGTGGTGGAGACCGTGTTCTTCCTGACGTCGCGCACGCGGGCGCTGCTGCGGCGCTTCCCGCGCCT